CTCTTGAAGCTTTTAGAGAAGGGAACCAGGTAACTGGGAACAAGAGTGGGAGGGAGACTTCTCACTCTATGCCATTTACAACTTAAAAACCATTTTAACTGTGATTATTTTAAAAATCAATCAGATTTAGCCAAAACCGGTTTGACTCAGTGGATAGAGCGTCGGCCTGCGGACTGAGGGGTCCTAGGTTTGATTCCGGTCAAGGGCATGTACCTGGGTTGCAGGCACATCCACAGTGGGAGATGTGCAGGAGGCAGCTGATCGATGTTTCTCTCTCATTGATGTTTCTAACTATCTCTCTCCCTTCCTCTCTGTGGAAAATCAATAAAATATATTTTAAAAAAATCAATCAGATTTAAATGAAAAAAATATGTATTTGAAGAGGAAAATATGTGACATAGGAACTTCATTTGAAGTTTTGGGGGACAGGATGAAATGTGTACGGGATTATGAATGCCACTGGAATATGTCAGCTTATTTCTTATCCCAATCAAGTCACTCTAATATAAAATACTAGAGGCCCAGTGCACAAAATTCATGCACAGGTAGGGTCCCTAGACCTGGCCAGAGATCAGGGCTGATCAGGTTCCCCACCTCCTCTCTTCCTTCTTCCCTTGCTCCCTCAGCACCCCGCTGCCACCACTGGTCGCTTGCCATGTTCCGTGCCGCCCCCCTGGTGGTCAGCACACATCATAGTGAGTGAACTCCTGGTCTTCCGGTCGAATTCCCCAGGGGACAATTTGCATATTAGCCTTTTATTATATAAGAGGATAGCATTCACTTCCCCTATTAAAAAAATTGAACTATAATTGACATGTAACATAATAGTTTTATCTTTTTTTGGCAATAGTCCACATATAAGTGAGATCATATGGTATTCGTCTTTCTCAGTCTAACTTATGTTACTTAGTATAAAGCCTTCAATGTCCATCCATGTTGTCACAAATGGCAAGATTTCATTTCTTTTTAACAGCTGAATAATATCCCATTGTGTGTGTGTGTGTGTGTGTGTATCACATTTTTTTTAATGCACTCATTCATCGTTGGACACTTAGATTGTTTCCGTATCATGGCTATTGTAAATAATGCCACATTGAACATGGTAGTGTATATTTCTTAGAGTCAGTGTTTTGGTTTTCTTTGAATAAATACCTACTTCTCCCATTTTTACACAAAAGGTAGCACATTACATATGCTTCAGCACCTTGCTTTTCCACTAAATTCATCTTAGAGATCATTCTACACAAAAATATTCTTCATTCTCTTGTATAGCCAAAAGATATTTCAATGTAGAAATGTACTATAATTAACATGTTAACCTCTATTGATAATCATTTAGTTTTTAAACCCCTCCCATCCTTTGCTATTAAAAATGAAATTGCAATGACAGGCTTGCATATATGCAATTTCTAGATTCTTCAGGCTGGCATTGTTATTTTACCTACTATATTATGTGACTAGTCAAAAAGAGCTGAAAATCTACCTTAGTTTCCATGTTGAGAAGATGAAGTCCTTTTATATTCACTCCTACATACACAGGGATGACTTTATGATTGCTGGGGCTTGCCTTTGTAAATATCTGTCCTGTGAAAAAAGCTGCTCCATATGTAGGAATTTCCCAACAATTCTGTAAGAACATGTGCTGAAGGTGATGCATTTCTTTACTGATACCCTCGCTTGTACTAAGATTCTAAAACCAAAAAAAGTAAAATAAAGAGATATGAAAGGAGAAGGTACCTTTGATAATCCAAAGAGGCCAACTAAGCAGTTTCTAAAATCAAGGCTGACCTCCAAGAAGAATGTGTGACATTATCCCAAGAGCAATTTTCTTTTTGAGATTTTACATTAAGAAAAAAGAAATATCAAGGTCTAAAAATATTTATCTATACTGTCAGGTTTTTTAAGTGACTCATGGACAGAGATATTATTTCATGTATTTTTAAAAATCACTAGTCCTTACCATGGTATGCAGCACATAGAAAGTATTTATGAAAAGATTCTACATTTAAAATAAAAATAACTTCCTTGCCCTGGCCAGGTGGTTCAATTGGTTGGAGCATCATCTTGTACACCAAAAGGTTTTGGGTTTGATTCCTGGTCAGGGCACATACCTAGGTTTCAGATTAGATCCTGGGGTTCAGGCTTATACAGGAGACAAATGACTGTTATTTCTCTCTCATTGATGTTTCTCTCTCTCCACCTCTCCCTCTAAAATATATTTTTTAAAAAACAACAACACAAAAAACCAGAAATATAAAAATGTCTTCCTTTCAGTTTCAGGCATGTGACCCAAAAAATCCTTTTCCAGGACTATATGTTTTATGAACTTTATTTAAAGCATATTAATAACACTAACAAAATTTCAACTCTCTTATAAAATGTCTTTTTAGTTCTATTAAACAACTTACCTTGTATTCATGAAGTATTCGGTTTGTCCAGTGAGGTGCCTTACTTTTCAATTTGGTAATAGGTACAATGGATTTTAAATTTTCTTCACTGTAAGCAAATATGCCAACATCTTTTTAAAAATCTTTAGTAGCTAGAGTAATATATTCATTTAGACACAAAAGGCTTTAAGTAACTGGAGTTTTTATCTAAAATATACTATGTTGTAAAAATTTTTAAACAAAAGCCACAATCTTAACACCATTCAATTCAGAGAAATGTTTCTTTTTTCAATAACCACAAAATATTTTTGAAAATTGAAAACCACAATAAACAAACATAAGATGTGCTAAAACCTCACTGTTTTCTCTCAACATGAAACTAGTTTTTGTGGTGGGATTTTTAAATGCATCTGCCTTATAACATTTTCCTACCACTCATTTAAGTTTTGGTGAACTTAGAGAGTATAACTTAAAGAACGCTTTACATAGTTTTGTTTTGTTTTTCCTTCTCATTCCATGCTTTGTAAGTCTCTTGGTATCTAAGGGGGATTGGTTCCAGGACTCCTGAGGATGCTCAGTCCCTCAGTCAGTCCTCTATATGCATGGTTCAAACTGAGGTTGGTTGAATCTGTGAATGTGGAGCCCACAGATTCAGAGGGCTGACTGTATTTAATTCCAAACTAATGTATAAATATTTATCTCTAAATATATTTGGTTAAATTGAATCTTAAGCATAGCACAAGACCACACATTACATTCACATGAAATACTTACTTTAGGAAACCTTGCTTGTGCTTCTTACTCTCATAATTTCCATAAACTATTTGCAACAACAGACTTGCTAATGTTATCAGTTTGGCATCAGGAGCTGTATAAAAGCCTTTCAATAAGTTATATCTGGCTTCGTCAAAGAGAATAAGAATAGCTAGTGGGTCTTCAATCTTAAAAGAAAAAAGTATTCAGTTAATAAGCTATAATTTCCTATTACAAAAGTACAACTTGTCATTACCTAATATAGAAAAGCAAAAATTATATATTTGTATATAAATAAGCCATTATTGCTTAAGAGCAGGGGCTGAAAATTTTTTCTATTACGGGCCAGACGGTAATACTTTAAACTTTGTGAGTCATACAGTCTCTTACAATAACTCAACTCTGCTACTGTTAGCACAAAAGCAGCCACAGACAATACATCAACAAATGGGTGTGGTGGTATTCCCATAACACTATATTCATGGTTACTGAAATCTGAATTTCATAAAATTCTCACATGACATGAAATATTGTTTTTCTGAATTATTTTCAACCTTTAGTAACTTGCAGGATATACAGAAATAAGCAGCAGGTCAGATATGGCAACAGGCCATAGTTTGCTAACCTCTGATTTACAGTCCAATAAAATTTCACCAGTTTACGGATATAGGATATGGATAATTTGAGCACAAATACTCAAATGCTTTATATTCTTCAAACATTTTTCTAATTATGCTTCTAAAAAGAACTCATACTAAACTCAAAGAAGATAAAAGGAAGTGTGTTAACTCTCAGAAGTATGGTATGTGTAGTTTAAAAAAGTTTAAGACAAATGTGTTTTATTTGACTAAAAATACTTTACACTTGCAAATAACACTAAAGGAGAGCATATGCCTTTTTTATGTTTTAAAAACTTAGAATATTCTTTTCTGTATTCCCCCATTCCAAGGTATCTCTTTGCTTCTTTGAGATTTACACACCTTATTAGCCCTTTATTAAATTTACCTTTGACACTATACTATTCCGAAAAAAAATTTTTTTTGTATAATCTGCCTTCTATCTGGTTGCTAATAATTCTCTTTAGGATAGACTCTCTTATTTCTTTTGCATTCTAAGACAATGAAAGGAAAAACAGAAAACCAACCAGGGGCTTTATAAAAGCAGTCTGATTCAAACTCTACCATTTACCAAAGGGATGTGGGGATTGAACAGAAAAACAGAAGTAAACCCCACCTGTACAAGAAGAGCACAAATTCTGCCTGTGGTGCCCACTTTAGGAACTCAATAAATTCTGTACATTTTCATGACTGTAAATAAGATTTTCAAGCAAACCTTTTTTTCAACTTCCAAAGGAAGTCTCACATCTCTTCTTAGGAAAAGCTGTGGTGTTTCCCTTTGGGGATCCAAATTAGTCAATTCAGCCAGTATTTCTGGCCAGTCCCGAACATGTTGCAAGGGTTTATGATATGGTTTGAGTTGAAGGCCTGAAAAACATCTTTCCTTTTATAAATGATAATGTAAAAATAGATCAATTATATCAATGCACAGAGACTCTGTATTAAACTCTCTACACTTAAGTACCAACTACACACAAATTAAGTGTAAATTTAAATCAACATCAACTTTAATTAATACTACCCGACTTGAGTTGATTGCTTTTGTTTTTAAGAATATAAGAATTGCCCTGGCTGGTGTTTCTCAGTGGTAAGAGCGTCACTGCAAGGACTGAAGGGCCACGGGTTAGATTTCCGGTCAAGGACAGATACCTCAGTTGCAGCTTCCACCCAAGGCCCTGGTGAGGGTGCCTGTGGAGCAACTAGTAGAAACATCAATGTTTCTCTCCACTACCCCTCTCTCCCCCCCATCCCTCCCTACCACTCTCTTTGGAAAAAATTTCCTCGGGTGAGGATTAAAAAAAAAATTATTATGAGAATAATTCTTAAAAGAAAAAAATTATTAAATCTATTTAAGATTCTTAATTTCATGATAGCCTAATTCTGATACAATCAGTAATATATGGTTAAAAAAAAACACAGCCATTAGATAACCAATCAAAACAACCTCAATTAAATCCTTTATGTATTTGCAATAATTTGAGAGACAAATCAACAGTAAAAGATTGATTTTAAATCAAAACAACCTCAATTAAATCCTTTATGTATTTGCAATAATTTGAGAGACAAATCAACAGTAAAAGATTGATTTTAAATCAAAACAACCTCAATTAAATCCTTTATGTATTTGCAATAATTTGAGAGACAAATCAACAGTAAAAGATTGATTTTAAATAAAAAGATCTGAAAGAAAATTTATATAAAGAAGAAATTTTATATTATTTTGAGCACTGAAAATAAAGGCAAGTTGGATGAGCGCCACATTTAATGGCATTCAAATAAAATTCCATTGCCAAAGAAGAAATGTTTTGTTTTTTACTACTTAAAATATTGTTTGAATTAAGTGAGGGGGGGGCTTACCTTTTTCAACAGTTTGGGCACAAATAATTTATATAAAAGAAGAACACTGTATCACTTTAAAATTTAAAAGTCAGTAAATTAACTGTTGTTAGACTGATGTTAAATGTAATTGACCAACCCACTTTCAAAAAAGAATAATGATGTTCACACAACAAAATAACAAATTTCTTACTGAGGTTTTCGGAACAGATCCAAATAGTGAAATATTGCTGTGTTTCTTGAGAGAGACGCATTCCTTCCATTATTTGCTGCACTGTGGTATTATTTCCATGCTTCAGTTCAACAGAACGGTATGATCCATCCATTCTGTATATTCGAACTTTTTCATACTAGAACAAAGAATGATAATAAATTATGCAACCTGGTTAGAAATTATACAACCAAATCCACCAAAATGCTTTAATTTCAACTTCATCTGCTTAATATAGATTTCTAACATGGAAAATATCAGAAAAATGGCTTCAAGTGAGAATGTGCTGGCAATATTTTTAAAAATTTTACTTTTATTATTTATATTTTCTAATACATTTTCCTCTGGATATCCCATGTTCACATAATTTTGAGAAACTAAGACAAATTAGTTTGTTTGTTTAAAAATTCAACTTTAAAATCTTCTGAGAGGATTTTTTTTGTAAGCTGCTATGTACAATGTAGATATCAAATGGGGGATATACATTGGTTAACTAAATCTGGTGTTAGTCAAGTACCTCATAAGTCTAATGGGCCAAAAATTATACTACAGAAATGTGTACCACCAATAATTTGTCCTAAGAGAAATCTGTAATAAAAGACTGCAGGTAGAAGTTTTAAGCAATGGACCTTAAGCCAGTTTTTTTTTTCCTCCAGTTCAGAAATTCTAGAGACAAATGAAATTCTCAGTAACATTTTTGTGGTTATGAGGTCTCCAAACAACTTCCAGGACAGTTCATTTTGGATAAAGGTACCTAATTCCTTTTATCTTTTACATTCCAATATAAAAAGTATGGGAAGAAAAAAAAAGTATTTTGATATACAATTAGAAAATGAATTGCAATGACGTATAACATAAAGTTGCCTATACCACTTATCTATTTTCTTGCCCTTGTCTTGTGCTCATGGAATAGTGTTTTCACAAAATGTACATGAGTGTGTAATCATCTTTAAAGGGAGAGATCATATATTCTTTTTTTTAATATGTATTTTTATTGATTTCAGAGAGGAAGGGAGAGGGAGAGATAGAAACATCAATGATGAGAGAGAATCACTGATCAGATGTCTCCTGCTTGCCCCCTACTGGGGATCGAGCCCACAACCCAGGCATGTGTCCTTTACAGGAATCGAACCCGAGACCCTTCAGTCTGTATCCGATGCTCCATCCACTGAGCCAAAACAACCAGAGCGAGATCATATATTCTTTATCAGTTATCAATTTCAGCATTTCGTGATGTTAAATTCACAGGAATATTCAACAAAGACATTGTCTCATTGATGGGAAGTTTGGAAAGGCTCAGACATATGGGTTATATTTGTTGGTATCAAACTTTTATCCTATATCTGTTAATATGAATCCTTTTATCTGGTTTGCAAGTTTTCAAATCTTTAAATTAATGATAGATTTATCATCACTATAACTTTTAGGATTGAGTTTTTTTCTAATTGTTAATTCTTTTCGACCTTAATGTCACTGCTAGTTATTTTGGACATAATTAGATGGAAAGCCAGGTTGAATAGGCAAAACAAAAAAGCTAGGAAAGCCCTAACCAGTTTACCAATCTTAACTCATGCATTTTCTTGAGGAGTAAAATGAATCTGTAATAGATAACTTGCTGAAACTAAATTAATGAATGATGGTTAATGTCAGTATTTACAAATATAAAATATTGCTGAGGAGGCCTAAGTAGAGATCTATGCTTCAATGAACAGATGAATTTGTAATTAGCACACCAAGTACAGAGATTATACTGAAAATTAAATTAATTTTAAGTGATTAAAAGATTTACTTATGCAAGTTTCATTTTGTTAAGCAAGAATAAACATCCAACCATATGGATGATAACAAAGTTAATGCTTATGAAGTCTAACCATGAGGTTTTATAAAAGCAGTAAAGAAACCAGCCATTCACCCTTCCACCTTGTCACAGAACCTGAAATTACTTATCAATTTAAGTAGGATGCTTGGCTCTACTCTGAAGGTAATCTTACTGGTTTGTTAATGGCTTCCTTCAACAATTTTGCAGTTTCTTCCCAATTATTTTGTTTGTTTTCTTCACAAATATTTAAAGGGGATTTTCCTTGTTGGTCTGTTATGTGCTAAAAATGAAGGGGCAAAGAAGAGGATAAAGAAAAAAGGCATTATAAATATATGGCAATCTAAAGGCAAATATTAAACTTTGATTAAAAAAAAGACTCCTCAAGTAGTAAATATGAACCATACTTAGTACATACTGTAGTTAAAATAAACATGAATTACCAAATATGAAAGACTTAAAGCACAGATCAATATGATTATTGTTTTTTAAAAGTTATGATTACAAATGCAACATAGGTTTTGTTAAAACTATTCTTTTTCCCTTCACAAAATACTTGTTAATACAAATTCTAGAAAGTGGGTAGAAAATCTTTTTTATTCTTAAATATATTTTTGAAGAAATACAATATGAAATGAAAAGAGGTTAAATTTTATACACATTCTGTAGAAGACTGAACAGTAATATGAATGTACTTAATGCCACTGAACTGTACTCCTAAAATGGCTTAAATGGTACATTTTATGCAAGACATATTTTATCATCATCAAAAATGTTTATGTATAAAGCAAAGTTTACACATAATATGTATTCTGTATAGTAAGTGAAATTTGTTTTTATTTTTCAGCTAACCTCTCAAGTATACTACTGAGCATGTTAGTGTCATTATTTGTTATTCACTGCTGAAACATTAAAAAACAACAACAACCTGGAAAATAACTTACTCTGTCAATTTCTGGATGGTTTAAGAGAATCTGTACTATTTCAGCATGTCCCCCACCAGCAGCAAAATGAAGAGGAGAACTAAGATGTCCATTTAAAAGGTTTGGATTGCACTTTCCTTTTTCTAACAATATGCGAGTGGCCTCAACCTTTCCAAGCCTATTTAAAAAAAAAAAAAAAGTCATTTCAAATGTTTTAAAACTCCAAATTTTAGAAGACATCCCAAAGAAATCTAAGATTTTTCTAGGCAGAAAGCAAGGAACTAAGATACAGACAATGTTTTCACTGCCTAGGGACTGATTTCTTATTAATTATTCTGGTTCAATTCAACTGTGTTTACTTCTGATCAATTCAGAGAAAATATAACCTCAAACACAAGATAGAGCACATAAAGTACAAAAATTATAATTTAAAGAGAGAAAATGTTTAGTCAAAAATATGTCCAGAATCAGAAAGTAACTCATAAACTTTTCACAAAGGCCTGTGATTTAATAGGCCCAAAGACGTAAGTCTGTATGTAGCTGTTATGTTAGGTAATGGATGACACATAAAGATATGTAAAATACATGGTCGCTGCTCTAATAAAGGAGTACAATGTAATCAGAGAAGTAAAACAAAAAACATGGAATAGTTACATAATGCTCTATAATTTAAGTAACAGTTTAGGATACTAACCAACGAAGTAAGGTACTATATATTTATCAAGATAGTATATAATTAATGCTTTAAAAATATTGGAAAAGGAAGATTATTATTTCAGTCTAAGATGGTCATGTAAAGAGTTTTAATAGGCTAACAACTTTAACTGGATTTTAAATAGGAATAAACTGAAGAGATATTGAAGAGAGGTAAAATATTTTAGGTAGTGGGAAAAGTAATAAGCAAAGCAAAGACCCAGAAAAGTGAGTAGTGAGCCCAACATTTGGTTACAGCCAAATACTTATGTAAGGATGCAGTTTGAAGCAATGGTGGAAAAGTAATTCAATGTTTAGAAATAAATGGGTGGGAGGAGGAGAGAGGAAAGGAAATTTGTTTTTAGATATGGTGCATTTAAGGGGAAAATTGCACATCTTCAAAACTGGTTTGTTTTGATTTTTAGAAAGGAGGGGATGAAGGGTGAGGAGGAGAGACACCAATGAGTTGCCTCCTGTACATACCCCAACTGGGAAAAGAACCTACAACCTAGGGATATGCCCTGACAGGGAGTTGAACCCACAGCCTTTTGGTTTATAGGATGATGCTCCAACCCACTGAGACACCTGGCCAGGGCCACACAAAGTTAATTTTATCAAAGGATAAAACTTTTCCTTGGTGTATTGTAATAATAAGATTTTTTAAAAAAAATACTGAACATGAATGAACTTTAGATTTAAAAATCAAAATCTTTAAATTATTACAATACTTTAATAGTAACAGACAAGATTTATTGCGTGCTTATTATATGCCAGTACTCTAAAAGCATTATTTGCATTTTCTTCTTTAATCTTCAGAAAGGTACTATGATTTAGCCCATTTTATAGATAAAGAAACAGATCCTTAGAGACTTCAACTTGCTAAAGGTCATACTTTTAGGAACTAAAAGTTGGGATTGAAACCTAGGGGCAATCCAAAGCACATTACATACTATACCATACTTCTGTTTTTATGCAATAGATAGTTGAAAATATTACCATTCTTTTATTAGATGAGAAAATAACCCTGCCCAAAAGGGCAACAAAATAGCCAAATATAAATTTGGGATTCCTAAATTAAAATTCACTGCCTGTGTCTTTCCTAATTCCACAGTGTACTTTCTTGGGGTTTGAACTATTCTCTACCTCTTTTTGCTTAGTTCCAGGTAAAGTATGTGAAGTTTTCTTAGTACTGTTGCTACTAGCAATATTTACTAGTAATATGTGTAAACAACTGTTAAGTTTAGTTTAAAATATTTAGGGTAACTTTTTACAAATTTGATATAAAAACTCTGTAATGGGCAGACAAGAACATATGGATAGAATAAAGGAGCATATTTTTAAGGAATGGCATAGTTTAAAAGGAAGAAAAATGTATATTTATAAGCAACTGTATTTAGCTTCTTGATAAATACTGGAATCAGTAAAACAAAAGAATTTGAGCTGAAAAGAACTCTAGAAGTTATCTAATTAATGCATTTTACATATAGATTTAAAAAAATGAGAGGCAAAGAGGTGAAATGAAGTACCTTGCTTAATGTCACGCAGTTAAGAAGTGTGGACACTTAACAAGTACTAAATAATATAGGCACTTTTTAAATGAGCCAAAGAAGTTCACTTTAGTACGTCAAAAGCAACTTTTCCATAAAAAGTAAATAACTTTATTACTTCCTCTCTAAAGGATGGGCTATATGGCAAATGGTTAACTACTGCTATGAGTACAAATTTAAGAACTCAGACCAACGGAGGGGAAGAGTCACTATCGTGAGAAGAGTAGGTGAGCAAGAGCTACATTGGACAATTTGTGGAAAGAGCTAGCCTCAATCCTGGGAGCTAATCCCTCTCATCTTAAAAAAAAAAAAGAAAAAGAAAAAAAAAAGGAAGGCTTTAATGTGAATGAATGCTTTTGGGGGTTTCCTGATACCACAGCTTCCCAAAGAACTAAAAAGGTATTTTACTGATATAATGCAAGTAAATCATAAGTAGCTAACACATGTAAATTTTATAGTAAGGGTAAACAAACATAACTCCAATACAAAACAGATAAATAAGGGTCCTGTGCTGTGCAATGACATTTGCTAGTCATCAGCTATCTTTCTGTATGACCTGGTAATAATGCCTGAGAATACTAACGATACTTTTCCTATAGGGCAGACCTGGCAATTCTGAATGGAACACATCTATAGGCACATCAAAGACATAAATAGAAAGCTCATTAGGCAAACATGGTAGAAAAAAAGTGGCTGGAATGAGTTTTGAAAAGGAGCACTAATATTTGTAACCAACTAGAGGCCTGGTGCATGAAATTCATACTCAGCCCAGCCTGCACCCTCTCACAACCTAGGACCCCTTGGCGGACATCCCTCTCGCAGTCCGGGACTCCTTGCTCCTTACCACCTGTGTACTCTCTGCTCTTACCCCTCCACTCGCTGCTCCTTAGCACTGTAGCAGAAGCAGGAGAGGCTCCTGCCACCGCCACTGTGCTTGCCAGCTGTGAGCCTGGCTTTTGGCTGAGTGGCGCTCCCCCTGTGGGAGCACACTGACCACCAGGGGGCAGCTCCTGCATTGAGTGTCTGCTCCCTGGTGGTCAGTGCACATTAGAGTGACCAGTCATCCCGCCAGTTGGTCGATTTGCATATTAGAGTTTTATTATACAGGATGATTCATTCTTTCTAAAAGGAAAATAAAAAGTAATCTTATTTACCAGCATGCATAATGAA